TTGTCAATAGTCGGCCATTCTTATTGCTCCACTATGACGTAGTGTCGGCCATCATTCTTTTCTAATTGTTGCAGTTGTCGGCCATCATTCTTTTCTAATTGTTGCAGTTGTCGGCCATCATTCTTTTCTAATTGTTGCAGTTGTCGGCCATCATTCTTTTCTGATTGTTGTAGTTGTCGACCATCATTCTTTTCTAATTGTTGTAGTTACCGGCCATCATTCTTTTCAATTCTTTTCATTGTCATTAATGTCAACTATTATGGTTTTTTAATAGATGTATAGTAATCAATGATTAAAATTTAAAAGAATTGTTTGTAAATAGATATGCAACACATGGTATACTTCAGCATAAGAAATTGCTGATGCTAACTTTCATTTACGTAAGACTACTTTGCCCTGTGCTGATAACACTCATACTTTTTTGTATATATATTATTAAGCCCTTCATCAAAGGATGAAACGTTGGAATAAGTCTAATAATGTGTTTTTGCACCTAAGAAAAGTTCATACGTTAGTATTGCAAAATCTAATCACTACTCAGAGAGATAATGGAAATTAATAATTGTAATACAGCATTTATAAGTATTACTTAAGATGCAACAAAAAATTTAAGAATATTTTAATTTTAACCCCTTTAGGGATATTTAGGCTTACAAAATCTCTTTGTCATTCCTAATCCACAATGCTCGTATCTTAATTGACATACATATCCTCTAATTGGACGACAATTTCTTCAAAAATACATGCTGCATGCATAGTTGCATAGATCTGATCCCTTTCTTGGTTTTATTTTGAAATCGTCTATAAATAGCCATCAAACTATGTTCCTTTAACCATCTAATGCATGTTTACAATAACAAAATGGTGATCAATCACTATCAGCAGCATAAAGATGAAATTTCCAAGTCAAAATAAATTGAAAAGTAAATACTTCATCAACATCATCATTCAGCATTAAAAAAGTTTGGGTAATGTTTGTAAATATCTAGCGAACAATTTACAAAAAAGAAATCCATAAAGATGAGTTATCGTAGTCATAATAAAAGCGAAAAGATGCACTCGATCTTTTATCTTTGTATTTATGCCACTTTTGCAAATATTTCTTAATTGTAATTCCAAAAAATTCAACGATACGAATATGGAGATATGAATATTGAGTACATTAGAAAAATAAAAGCCTGATATTAAAATAACCAACGAAATAAAGCTGATCATTTTTTTTTCATACACTGCTGAATGGTTGAAAAATTGAATGCTGAAAAAGGTTGTTAAAGGTTTATGGTTGGAGCACGGCGTTGTACGGGTGCGAAACATGGACAGTGGGCGCGGCGGAAAAGAAAAGGTTAGAAGCCTTCGAAATGTGGTGTTATAGGCGGATGATGAGGATAACGTCGGTAGAAAAGGTTAGAAATGAAGAGGTATTAGAAGGAATAGGAGAACAGAGGACTCTATGGAAGTAAAAAAATAGGCGAGATAGGTTGGTAGGACACCTTCTCAGGCATGAAGATCTAGTCAGAGAGGCAGAAACAGGAGTTAAGAGGGGTAGAGGTAGATCTAGATTAGATTAATGTTCGCAAACAGTTAAGGGTGTGGGATGTTCTAGTCTTAGGGAAATGCGAAATTTAGCTCAGGATAGGAAAGAGTGGAGGTACGTGTCCAACCAGTCTCAGGACTAACGACCCTACGATAATGATGACACTGCTGAATAGAATAAGGAACAAAAATTTTTGTATATACGATATTATACTGAATTTCGGTTTAATAAGGATCTGTCTTTTACTATCAAACTTCTCATCCCCTTACTGTGACAAAGTAAACCAAATTTCTATATTATACTGTCTATGTAATTATTCTTAGTAGTTCTTTGCGTAAACAAAATAGTTTCGCTAGTGTATTGTAACGATGAGCCGGATACTCGATGGATCTGGCACTCTTTTTAGGATCCGATCGGGTACCGGATAATAACGCCGGCTAAGCGGCAGTGCCTGGTAATTCTACCAAAGAATTTACTTAATAAATATAATCAAAAACCTACATAATGAAAGTTGATAATTAAGGTTGTATTGGGACAACCCTACAAGTGCCCACTGCCTAAAGAGCCCTTAAAAAGTTCGATTGAGTAAATTATCTCATTAGTCTTTTTCTTTAATCTCACTGTTCGTATAGTGCCTGCCATGTCTCCCACAAGTAATTTTTAGTTATCTTTCTAACTAATTGTTCTCTCAAGTATAGCCCTGGGAGAAAGGATTAATCCTGTAAGGAATAATCTGAGATATACTGTGTCACAGTGACATGAAATACTGCAGATAATTTAGATCATGACACCGCTAGTCGATTTACCAGTGTCGCCTCTTTAAACTCCATTACCCCTGTGATATCCTACCGAAGTAAATTATTTGGAACAAATTGCAGAAATGCGCTATCATGAAAAGTGGCCGTTTTATAAATCCACAATTTTATCTACAGCGATAAAGTGAAACTGAAGCTTCAAAAATTAATAGCATCAATGTAATAACCAATATATAGAACATAGGTACATAAAAACCATCAATATACGTTTTTAATATTGAAGTTAAAGGGGAGAAAATTTACAATGCCTCTGTGGGCGAATTGTTTAGTTCTTTTTATCCTGAAAATAACAAATAACGTATCGGGATCCGTCAAATGGGCATACACCATCTGGTGGCAAAATTTATAACTCGAATGAGGGAAAAATTTACATAGTAACTGTGCACGCAAATTGTAAAATTGTTTATTAATATAATAAAACACGTTAAAAAAGTAAAAATTTTTTTGATGATGGAGTCGACGAAGTTTTCTTCTAAAGTTAAATCAAATAAAAAGTTAATATGTTCAGTGAAAAGCTGCAATAGCACTTCAGACATAGATCTTCACTCTTCACCTACATTAACTACTTTCCAATAAAAACTAACCGTTTTATATATGTAAAAAATATATTCGGAAAATTAGAGAAAAAAGTAAACTAATAGAAGCTTGGATGAAAGCAGTAGGTATCAAAGAAGTGAATTCCGGAATAAAAATTTGTTCACGTCATTTTAATGCACATGATTATATTTCAGCAAGTATTTACCATCAGCCATAACCTTAATATTTAAAACTAGAATCATACTAAAATTATAAAGTGAGAAATTATTTATTCCTGTGTAATTGATTTAACACAATTCTAATGATACGATATAAGTATTTTGAGGTTAAGAACCTACCTGCTGCAATACAACAAAGTTGCAATAATGTGTTTGCAACGTTCTCTTAAATCGGCTTTGCACGTGCAAGTCATTGATATGATATTGCTTAAATCACCCAGAATCACCTCACCAATTATATAACGTGAATCACTTTTTAAATCCGAAGTTTGTAAAAAGTAGGCAGCAAACTTGACGGAATTTGAAGGCTAGCTTCCGGATTTGTTATTTCCGAATTTTATAATGTGATTAGCATTAAAGACACGCTAACCTTCAACGAAATTTCCTTTATGAGGCTTTTTGTCAGCCCAATCACATATTGTGTCAATACTTATCATTTTATCGTAATTTAAAAACTTGGAAATTGCACGGTACACTATAGGAACTACGATAAATTTTCCCTAATCGGCGCCATGTTTTTAGGCTCCTCCCATTTGACGGATCCCAATAAGTAAAGATATATTTATGAACACACTAATGGAAGTTGGAGAAACTGAAAGCCCACACTCCTCTTTAGCTACTTAAGTAATTATTAAGTTACTTTAGATAATATAGTTACAAATTCTGAAAAAAGAAAACCGTCTAGAAAAAAAAAATTATTAGCAATTCTAGCATAAGAATCGTTTGAAACTTCGACTAATATCCATCAAATTATAAATTTGCTATGTGTCAAATTACTGTCTTGGTTTAAAATTTTGACATTAGTCTAAAAAGAAATGAAAAACTATTCTTGCAGTAATATGACAACTGATTGTAATGGAACAAGACGAGGAATGAGCCTACGTCCACAAGGATTATCCAACAATTACATAAAAACCTAATAACAAAAATATAGGACGTAGGAAGTAGGACATAGGTACATAAAAACCGTCAATATACGTTATTAATATTGAAGTTAATGGAGAGAAAATTTACAGTACCTCTGTGGGCGAATTGCTTCCTTCTTTTTATCGTAAAAGTAACAAATAACGTATAAGTACGTCGTTATTTTCGCAGCGATAAAGTACAAAAAAAAGGTATTAAAATAACCCAAAATATTGCTCACAACAACGATAGTATAAGTACATGATAAAGAAATACGTACCTACACAAAAAAAAACTACAATTTCAATTAACAAGAGTAAAAGATAAACAAGAAACAAAAAGGGAGAGGAAAAAACATAGATCACAGTCTCCTACGCGTAGCCACACGCATTTATTCAAAATAATAGAATTCTAGAGAATAATACGCTAAAATACCATTTAAAACAAAACAACAACATTTAAGTGAAAACAAAAAACTTTCGACAATTCAGACATAAATAACTACATGCAACCAAACATACATCGGGCAAACAGAAACGATAATAAAATAACGATAAACTGAACATATCAATTCACATACATACATACTCTAATAGTACCAACAAAAAATGAAAACTAACATCATCTATACTTCGAATAGTAGTATAGATAAATTGAACACTAGACTGAAGATACCAAAAGGCGAAACGGCTGTTGCAAATGCACACCATAATTCGTAAAATGGAAAAACAAAACACTAACTTAACATTAAAAAACAAACCATTTGGTCAAATGTTACATAAAACTTTCAACATCTACCTTCATAATTTTTATTTTTAAATAAATCTAAAATAAATAGGCACTCATATCATAAACAAATAAGTATGCGATATTATTCAATGTTTTCTTATCATGAAAATTAAGTTTTACGATTATTGCTTTCCTTTCTTGTTGTCCTATATCTACCCTTTTTATGCCTTTCGCTCCCAATACATTTTATTTCTATTGTTTCAGAGGCTTTACGATGCAGTAGATTACAAGATTTCCAGCAACTTGAAGTACGTTCTTCTTATAACAAATGTAGTATATACCTATAAGCACACCAAATTAGCCAAATATTACATCTATGAAATACAAACAAGGTAAGAAATTTAAATATTTGAATTATCTCAGCATCTAAAATTAAATATTATTTATTTTATAAAGTATCTAAGTATATCGATTTTTACGAAATCCTTATAAATAAAAATTATTTTTTCTTTTTATTGGATAATTCTACATTACATAATATGCTGTGCGCCGGTTTAAGAATGCAATGGAATTGTAAATCTTATTGAA